TAAGAAGAAATAAGCCAGATGTGTTGACAATGACAACAATATAGAACATTCAGAGACCTTTAAAGTATAAATTACAGTTTTCTAGAAAGTTTCTTTAATTCAGTGTTTGTGACGCTGATAAAACCTTTGGCTTGTCGACGTTTTCCTCTCTCAAATAGTTTTGCAGCGTAGATGTTTGGCCATCTTATTTTTATTCATAATATGACGCTAAAATGCCAAGTCCAGCATTTTAAATTTGTCTAACAAATCATTTTTACTGCTGGCGAACACTGAAAGACACTTTTCAGTGACTGTAAAACGGCCATTAAGGCTACAGTGCTCACCTAACCCTCAAACAAATGAATCCACAGTAAATTTCACCCTAGAGTTGCTGCAAAAGCAATCAGTGCTGATATGAAAATATTTCCAAGTAATTTGGAAGAACACTACTAGATAAAACTGTGCTCTGTTTTCACTACAATTCAACATGATTTATTATCGATAATTCACGTGTTCACCTCACGTTTTTGTGATGCTGTGCGTCTGATTTCCTTCTTTGTCACTTTAGGTGTTTTGAAGGCAGTTGGGCACATCAACGATACTCTGGCTCCAGCTCTTTTAGCCTCTGTAAGTCCTCAAATCACTTATTATACTATAGAGGATTAACGTTAATCTTAAACCTATTTTCTGTTATGTACTCAGTCTAATATAGTACTTTCTTAATCGAACTGACTGCTCAAAATAATTTTCAGCTACGAGCACTCTGTGATTCCTGTGAGCTGAAACAACAGCTGCAAACATCTGCATTAAAGCACGGGTTTCTGCTTTTTTCCCCATTATGATGGGAGTGAAAGTGGATATCTTTCATATGCTCATCTCACACACAGATGCCCCGCCCACATCCTGTTCTGAGCAGCAGCCAATCAGACAAAAGTTGGCTTAAAAGAAGGAAGAAAATAGCCAAAACATCCAAAACAGCTTGATTATCATGATTATTGTGAGCTTTTGATCACACTAAGCTGCTTTAGTTGGAAATAAATATAATAGGTTCCCTTTAAAGGGAAATTTAATTACCATTATGAATGTCTTCTAATTAATCATTGTGTTGGGAGCCATGCATTAAAAACTGCACAC